ATGTTCTGCTGGGAAACCTTGGGTCCTGTCATCCATGTGGATGTTACTTTGACACGTACCACCTACCTCAGCATTGCTGTAGACCATGTACACCCTTTCATAGAAACGGTATTCCCTGGTGACTGTGGCCTCTTTCAGCAGGATAAAGCGCCCTGGTACAAAGCAAAAATGGTTCAAGAATGAGGAGCACAACAATGAGTTTGAGGTGTTGACTTCTGCATCTGTGAGATGTGCTGAACAAACAAGTCCGATCCATGGAGGCTCCACCTCACAACTTACAGGACGTAAAGGATCTGCTGCTAACATCTTGGTGCCAGATACCACAGCACACCTTCAGGGGTCTAGTGGAGTCCATGCCTCGACGGATCAGGACTGTTTTGGCAGCAAAAGGAGGACCAACACAATATCGGGAAGGTGGTCATAGTGTTACGCCTGATCGGTGTATATATATGTCGCTCTGTTGAACTCTTGAAAATATACATTTAGTCTGTATTCCACCAGGAGGTGCTTGACATAATAAATGTAAAAGCACTTTACCCAAATGTTAATTTTCAGAAGGTATGGACAGTGCCAAACTAAATTTTGTTTAAAAATAAAATAGGAAAGGAAAGTATGTGACGTGTGGCCAAGTATGGAATTTGTGCTCTGCATTTCACGTATCCAAGCGCACACACACAGCAGAGAGTAGCGAAGACACACACACGCACACACACAGGTTTGTTTTTATGGTTTATGGGGACTCTCCATAGGCGTAATGGTTTTTATACTGTACAAACCGTATTTTCTATTGCCCTACACCAACCCTACCCCTCACAGGAAACGTTCTGCATTTTTAGATTTTCAAAAAAACTCATTCTGAATTATTTATAAGCCTTTTGAATTACGGGGACACTGAGCAGTGGGTAGCCATCTTTGCTGTGGTGCCCGGGGAGCATTTGGGGATTCTGTGCTCAAGGGTCTCACCTCAGTCATGGTACTGAGTGCTGTTCATTCACTCCCCCTACCTACAATCACTGCCAGTACTGAGACTCGAATCTGTGACCTTTGGTTTACAAGCCCGACTCTCTAACCATTAGTCCACGACTGCCCCCAAAAATAAAAGAAGCCTTTCACCACTCTGCTCCTTTTGCCAAGAAGAGGAAGAATCTCTCTCACATTTACCACATTCACAAATACCACGTTCACAAAGCACGATGTCTTAACTTTGAACCCAATTGTAAAATATTCACTTCTGATTTCCTTTTACTTTTCTCATCACTTCAAAGAATCTCCTCCAACAAAAAAAGCTTAAAAAATCTATAGAATTTTTTAGAAAAAAAATCCAATCTTATAGAAAAAAAAACATAAGTAATAACTTTTTATATTTATTTATGTTTTATTTTCACTTATTTAATTATCTTTTGTTTTTACTATATCCCCACTTGTTCTTGTTCTAATGTTTATGTGTATCCTTGTGATATTGTTAATAAATAATAATAATAATGACTGTAATGAAACATGTAGAGACTCAGAGTAAGAAAACTTTATTGATAAAGGCAAGCAAATACAGATGACAAATGAACAGCAGTAGTGAAGTCTTTATAAATTAATTTTATGTATCTGAGGAATAGTCAGGAACTAACCATAACTGTAGGTGCATTAAAAAAAATCCAAAAGGTAGAACACTTAAAGAAAGTCTGCACTCTCTACCAAAAAAGAAGTCATCAAGTGCGAGATAAAAGCAATACTTTACTAGAAATAGGGGCAAATGGTGACCTTTGTCAATGTCGAGCTAACAACATGTTCGTTTGAGATGAGCACAATCTGCTCTGAACCGATCGCCGGTGATCACTGTGGATGCATGCTGGTTAGAAATGTGTCCGAGGGCAGTCTGATGCTCTGAAGTCACGCCGACGTGTGTCAAAAATCTCTCGCAACAGTGAGTCGGCCATGCAGTCGAGCGCAGTTGTTCTCCACCGACTGCGCTGATCAAAAGCATGATGGGAAACGACTCGCTGAAGACACAGCTTAATGCTCATTGGTTCAAACAGGCGTGATGTTATGTTCTTTTCTTAAATGTTTATTTTTTTATCTGATATCATGTAATTATGAGTTTAAATTATGCATGAATATTCTCAAACACTATGACAGTGCGATCTCTGTGAGATATGTGATTGTTGTCATATTTCAAAAAAATTCTTAAATAAACGTTTGTTTAAAGTAAAAATGGATGATAAATAGTCTACGGAATAAATGTGGAATTAAATAGCAAGTACTTTGAGTGTCTTGTTCATCATATTTACTTTCATATAAAGGCATCAGAACTGAAATTCTATGTTTATCAGCAACAGCGCATTAGTGTGAATAACGCCATATCCGCCTTTGATCTCGTAGGTGTCTGTTCTACTTCAAGATGTCAGGTGCTTCATGCAACCGGGCCCCAGCTTCTTAGAAGATGCATTTGCATGAAATATTTAGAAACGCATCTAGAGAACATATGTTGAATATGCATTACACATATGTTATGCATAGACACATTTGTTGAACATGCATTATGATTGGATGAGTTAGAAGCATCCTGGTTTGATTAGGATATATACAGTATATATATACTGAGTCAGAGTGTTATTGAGGGTCACTCTCTGCAGCCAATCTGTACGACTGTTCAACTTTTCTTGCAAGAAAAATCTTCAAAAGACTTTTGTCTCATGCCTTTATTGAAATAGAAAATTTCCACAACAGTAATCTACAGTACTGATTATTTAGGATCACAAACGTATTAAAAATCAATTAAAAGAATAAAAGATGACAAAAGAGCAAACACAGTTATATATATTTGTGAGGAAACAGAATCAGTGTTCTGTGGTGAAACACGTGTAAATCACTTCCGTCACGTCCGATTCCTGCAAGACAAACACAAAGACATAATTATTCATATTGAATAAACGGCAGAAACTTGCTGCAAATTCAACATGAGGACTGATAATGCACTGGAACAGAGCATCAAATTGAGTATTATGGGATAGAACGAGTGAATATTATGGGACATGAGACAGTGTTTCTTGTATTGAATGACTGTTTTGTGTTTGTGTGCAATGGAGAGTCTCTGTGTTTTTATGGTTTATGGACTTTTATTATGAAAGTTTAGAACACAGAGGCAAAAAAAAAGTGCTATGTAGTTATTTTGAACTTTAAAAATGAATGTAAATGTCATTGAAACGACACAGAGACTCTTACCGTCATTAGTCCAGTGTGTTTGTAGAGTAATGCAGCAGCTAGAGTCTCGTCTTCATGAACTGTAATGACAGACACATTCAGTCAAAACATGGAGAAGATTGGTGATTCACAATTGTTTTTACAGAAGTGTGAGCTGTAGATTGACTTGACCTGCGTCTCTGTGTTTCCTGCAGATACAACACAACCCAATTACAGCCACAATCACCAGAGATCCAGCAGCAGCAGCAGAGATCAGCACTATTATCAGAGATCCTGAGGCTGCAGGAGGTGGAGGAGGAGGATGTGAAATAAGAGATGGTGGACAAAGTACACAAATCAAGAACTTGAGTAAAAGTACAGATACGTATAATAAAATATTACTCCAGTAAAAGTAAAAGTACTCCTTTTTCAATTTTACTCGAGTGAAAGTACAAAAGTACTGATAGATAGATTTATTTAGCAATTTTATATAGGCTACTTAATTAAATTTTACATTAGCACATGATTTTTATAAACCTACTGCTCAAAATACCTGGGATTTTCCCAAAATAACCACTATATGGAGTCAAGATATATTTGTGTTGTTGATATGGTCTACGTTGACGAGAGTGATGTAGTAATGTTCACTGTGAAGCTTACACTGCAGTGTACCTGAGAGAAAACAGATCTGATTTTCACCAGTAAGAAAAAAGTGTTTTAAAGCTTGTTGTTTTTCAGAACATCACAGTTATACATGACATGAGAATAAGGCCTGAAGTTAGGAAGAACATTTTAAGGAAAATATAATCATATTTTCATGATTTTTTTCATCTTCTCAAACTGTGTCTGTGGTGTAAAACCACCCCTGGCCAAATGCCCCCAGAGGGCATCACT